GCCGTAGCTCTGGGGCGGCGGGGCGGCGGGCGGCTGCAGCTGCCTGCCGTTCCCGCCGCTGCCCCCTTCCCCGTTCACTCTCCGCGGCGCCTTCTTCTCCTCGGTCCGAACCTTCTTGGCGGACCCAGAGCCCGGCGGCTCCCGCGCGGCGGGCTGCAGCTTGCCGAACGCTTCCTTCTCGGAGAGGACGGCGGCGGCGCCGTAAGCTGGGTTCGGCGGTTCCGCCATTTTGCGCTCCTGTTGTATTTACTCTCGTCCGCTCCCCGGCGCGGGGCACGGGGCGGGGTCCCCAGGCCCCGGCCGAGCTTCCATTGGGCGCGCTAAACTGAGGGATCCTTGAACTCACCAATCAGAAGCGCGGACATGAGCCGTCGGGGCGGGATCACCGAGCGGGGCCTTCTTCGGAGGTCAGAGGTCCTCTCGGCGCGGCCGGTGGCGGAGTTCCTGAGAGAGGAGAGTGCTCGCCGGCCACTCGAGGGAACTCGGGTGCCGCGGGAAGAGCCCCGAAATCTGCGCCGACCGAGGTAGCGCTGGTGTTCGCCTCAAAGACTTTGCCTTACTTGTACCGCTTTCTCTTTCTACCGTGAGGTGGCTTGGGTCCCTTCTTGCACGTTCTGAAAACCGGGTTCCGTCCGGCGTTGTTCATCTCGCAGGAAATTAGTGGAGAATTCGATTGACTGGAAAAGGCTAAAATAGGGCACAGATGCCTTATTTTAACTAACGTCGTAAATGCTAGTGCTTTAAAAGAGAGTTTCCTGCAGAACTGGAACTTACATTGCTTCGGAGCGTGAAGATAAAATTCACCCACTGTTTGGAGACTCTAAATTGAACTTGAGTGCTAAAGGTTTTAATTTTAACTGTACCTTTAACTTGTCAACAAAATTCCGTTAGCGGTGTTTATAAATGTTTGAAAAATCAAGTTAGATATCTTTATTTCAGAGTTATCACTATGAGATTTTTGCCAAGCCTGTGCTTTGACTTTTATCTCAAAAGATTTGGAATTTGGGGGTATGGGTTACAACACAGTTGAAGCCATCTAAGAGCGTGCCTTTAACTCTTAGATACTGAGATCAGAATCACAAGAGGCTGGGTGTAAAGATAACAAGTAGTCAAATTAGACCACCAGGGGAAGGAAATTTTATGGTTCCTAAGAACAGTGGCTGTTACTTTCTGCAAACAGTTTTTACAGTTACCTTTCAAAAATAGTCTACTGACCGGAGGAAATTGGAATACTTTGTTATTTTGTTACCTTTCTTTTACACTCATCCCCACTTAGGAGTTTTTAATGTTGTTTATAAATACATTGTTTAGCGTGTCTGGTTTGGTTTTTTTGAGTCATAGTCTCTCTGTGTAGTCCTAGCTACCCTGAAACTCACAGACAACTGCCTGCCTCAGCTGTCCCAATCCGTTCCCTGCACCTCATACCCCAGTGCTGGGATTAAAGGTGTCCACCACTATGACCAGCCTCATTTTTTAGTTTTTAGAACAAGATTGTTAACATAAAGAGTATTTCCTGAAACTAGACCCATAAAGACAAATTTCGCATATTTTCCCTAATGTGTGAAATCTAGATTTGAATCTATAGATAGATAGATACATTTATACACACACACATATATATATATTTGACATAAAAGGAGAAGAGGAGATGGAAAGGCAATGAGGGAAAGAAAGAAAGTTACCTCATGTTCTCTCATGGGAATGAATATGTATGTATATGGTATGAAAGCAGAGAAGGACTACTTGGAGAAAGGAGAGAGGACCATCAACAAAGGAGATGAGAGGATGGTGTTATGAATATGAGCAAACAAGGATATTACATGTATGAAAATGCCATGATAAAACTGTGAATGCCAAATAAAATGAAGACTGCTCACTTCTGTAGATTATCTGATTTAGGCATTCATAACAAACTTAAGTTCTATGAACAGTATCAGCTGGTCTAAAGATCTTTTTAAAATTCATTTTTCCATTTTCTCTCTTTTAGAAAACATTTGCTTGTGCAGTGGGGGTGAATGTCCAGAAAGGAAATAACTGTTTAATGATCTACTAACTAAATATACAACTATATATTTATGCATCTCAAATATTAAGTATCAAAATATGTAGTTTCTAGCAGTGAGAGCAGGTGCTGAAATGTGCTGGCAGCATATGTCTTCATTAACAGTAGGAGAGAAGATAGGACTGGCCATCACCTACTCACCAGCCTGCTGATACCAGCCAGGCCACTCTGCCTGGTAAGATCGCTATTGTCTTATTCATTAAATTAGTGGATTTGACTACATGGTTACTATATCCCATATCTGTCATTTTCAAGATTTGCAAAATCACACTGAAACCATTACAATTAAAGTAATTTCTCTAAGACATTGTGATACAGTCCTGTGATCCTAGCATTTGAGAAGTAGAAGCAGGAGGACCAGAAGTTCAAGGTCATCTTCAACTAACTACATAGTGAGTTCAAAGCCAACCTGGGCTACATGAATACCTGTCTAAAGTAACATAAATTTTTAAATATTTTTTTAATTTTTATTGTATGTATTCCAGTGTTTGCCTGCAGGTATATATGTGACCACATGTATGCCTGGTGCCTATGGAAGCCAGAAAAGAGCATAGAATTTCCTGGAATTCTTTTAAGATTTATTTATTTAATATATATATATACAGTGTTCTGCCTACATGCCAGAGGACATCAGATCTCATTATAGATGGCTATGAGCCACCATGTGGTTTCTCAGAATTGAACTCAGGACCCCTGGAAGAGCCAGTACTCTTAACCTCTGAGCCATCTCTCAAGCCCCAAGGATTCCCTAGAATTTGAGTTATAGACAGTTGTGAACGGCCTTACTTGGAAACAAATCCATGTCCTCTGCAAGAGCAACAAGTGCTCCTAACCCATTGGCCATCTCTCTAACCCCTAAAATAACTTTTGTAGCTACTAACCTAAAAAGAAGAGTGCCTTTTTATCAGTTGATGTCATGCCAGGAAATTTGTACCACTCATTTCCTACACTGTAATTCAGAAAAATCTAACCTTAAGATTAAAGTGCATTGTGTGTGAAGTTATTATTTCTTGCCCCATCATACACTGCTAACAGGCCTGCTTTTAAACTTAATGAATCTGAGCAAGAATATGGTTGTGGAGGCCCTGCACCTTATAAATCAAAATAACAAATTCAAGTAAAATATTGTGGTAGTTTGAATAAGAATGTCTCCCACAGGCTTGTTTGAGTGCTTGGTCCCAGTTAGTGAAATTGTTTGGGAAGGATTAGGAGGTGTGGCCTTGCTAGAATAGGTGTATCATTGGGTGGGCTTTGAGGTTTCAAAAGCTCATGCCAGGCTCTGTGTCTCTGCCTGCTGCCTCTGGATCAGGATGTAAAGCTCTCAACTACTGCTCCAGCACCATGCCTGTCTGTTTCCTGTCCTGATAATGCTCTGAAACTGTAAGCAAGCCCCCAATTAAATACTTTCCTTTAAAACATTGCCTAGTCCTGATATCTCTTCACAGCAATAGAACAGTAACTAAAACAAATCTGTTCTGCTGCTTTGGACAAAGTGACTTCTACGGTATTCTGGAAAACCAAATTTAAATTTAGAATTTTCAAAGTTCCCAACTGATTCCATTCTCCTGACCTGACTCTCTAACCACTATACCCCCCCCAAAAAAAAAATCCATGCATATACATGATGTGTTTAAGCGAAAATAGTGACATAATCAACAGCTCAGTGTGCCCCAGGATCTGGGCAATGTGGAAGATATTAGGCTCCCAGGTTTCTTGACCTCATGGTCTCCTTGCCCTTTGCAATAGGAAAGCAGCTGAGTAGACAGAAACCTAAGGACAGTACTGTGCTATAAAACATACTTATTATAACTAAGTCCAAGGATAATAGGCAGTAAAATACGGCCTCTGTATAATCAGCCATTTCCTTTCAACTGCATCATACCTAATAATGCTTAACTGGGAAAGAATGTCTACCACTGTCATCAGCTCCTCTTGGTGTGATTTTGTGTGTGTGTGTCTACATGTGCATAATATGCAAGCCAGAGAACAGCCTCAGGTGTTGGTCCTTGGATGCCATCCATCTTCTCTTTTTTGACAGGATCTCTCACTGGCCTGGAACTTACCAAATAGGCTTTTTTAAAAAGCAAACAATGGGCTCATCTGCTACCCACTGAACCACATCCCCAGGCCTGTGAGTTTTGTTTTGATTTTAAAGATTTTTATTTGTTTCTCTCTGTGTATGTGCATGTGGGTTCCCATGGAGGCCAGAAAAGGGCAACAGATTCCCCTGGATCTGGATTTACATGCGGTGGTGAGCTACCCAGTGTGGATGCTGGGATCTGAACCCAGGTCCTCGGCGAGAGCAGCAGTGCTCTTGCCCACTTAGCCATCTTCCCAACCCTGGGTGACTCCATTTTTAAAACATAAATACTAAGAGATCAGCATCAGATGCAGAAAGGAGCCACATAGCCTTTGTTTCAACTTAGAGTATCCAAAGTAATGTTTTCAATAAATAAAGAGTGAGTGACATTGGGGGAGAATTACTGCTTTGGAAGGTTGCTTGTCACTTTAGAATCTCAAAAGGAGCCCTTTTTACAGTATTTTACAGACTTCTCAAACAGTGAAGGACAGAGGCCTTCATTGTCTACCCGGCCAATCCTGAAAATGCCCGTAATATCACCTAACTGCAACAGCTCCCCAGTTCATCTCTCAAACCCTGAGTGCCCCAGTGTGTAGCCGCTGCCCGGTGTCTTCAGAGATAGAGTGCTGACTTCCTGCCAGGGACCTGCACTCTTCTTTTTAACTGCTGAATTTCTTCGAGGTTGCTTGTGCCTCCCTTTCTCCTGGACCTGGTGATGAACTGTCAGGGAAGTCTTCCTAGGAGGCTTTCAGGAAAGTTCTGGGGAGTGAGGGGACGACCTTTGAGTTCTTTTCACTCCTTGAAACTTAGAGAATCGGTCAAGATTGTAAACTTATGGGCCATATTTTTCTTTCTCTTTTGTTTCTTTTTTTGGTTTTTCGAGACAGGGTTTCTCTGTGAAACAATCCTAGCTGTCTGAAATCACTTAGTAGACCAGGTTGGCCTTGAAATTACAGAAATCTACCTGCCTCTGCCTCCCAAGTGCTGTGATTAATGGCGTATGCCACCACCTCCGGGCAGGCCACATTTTCACCACTAATATTATTTTACAATAAATACAAGCATAACCAGTTTTTTGGGTTTTGGTTTTTATATTTTTGAGACAGGTTTCTCTATGTATCCCTGACTGTCCTGGAACTCATTTTATATACCAGGCTGGCCTCAAACCCATCTTGTCTCTCTGCCTGAGTACTGGGATTAAAGGTATTTACCTCCACCACCTGGCCAACATAACAAGTTGTGGGTTTTTGTTTGTTTTTTGTTGTTTTGTTTTTAATGTACACTGATATTTTGCCTGTATGTGTGAGGTTGTTGGATCCTGGAGTTGCAGACAGTTGTGAGCTGCCATGTGGGTGCTGGGAATTGAACCCAGCCAGTGCTCTTAACTACTGAGGCATCTCTTCAGCCTGCATAACCAGTTTCTTAACCACAATCTTTCTTCCAGTTTTAGTATGTTCTTAAGCTTGGGAAGGGGA